GAACCTTTGGCCGCAGCATCATATGATATGCTCACAATGAAGCTGCTTTTTCTGTTGGTGATCAAATCTGCTCACAGAGTTAGCAAGTTGGTAGCCTTGGTGGCATTGCCACCATATACAACATGCAGCAGAGAATCAGTCACTCTCCAACCTCATCCTGCCTTTATCCCTAAGGTCTACTTGGAGTTTCATGTTAATGAGCCTGTTATACTCCCTTCCTTCTGTCCTAAGCCTCATGCCTTGCCACAGGAAGTGCTTCTGCATACCTTCAACATGCGTCAAGCATTTGCATTCTTATATCGACAGAACTAAGGGTTGGCACAAGACAGACCGCTTGATAATATCAGCCGCGGAGCGATACAGAGGTGAGGCCTTATCTTCCCAACGTATTGCTCGGCTGATAGTCAAGTGCATCATGATGTGTTACTCTATTCGGAACAAAATTCTTCTGGCCCAACCGAAAACTCACTCAACCAAAGCAGTGGCCACCTCTGCAGCTTTCCAACTAGGAGTCCTCTTCCGTGACATCTGCCGAGCAACTACATGGTCATCCAATGCTACTTTCATGAAGCATTATGCCATTGTACAACATCTAGATGCAGACTTCACTGTAGCCTCAGCCGTATTCACACCTCATGACTAACCTCGATTCCAGAGCCCACCGTACAGACAGTTTGAGTACTGCTACATAGTCAACTACAGTGGAGCACCCAGGGGACACTACTTGAAGAAGTAGTAGTTACTCACCTTCGTGCAGTAATGATGGTCCTTTGAGATGTGTGTCCTGGTGGGTGCTCCATGACCCATCCCCCTCCCCGCTTCAGAATCTCGTTTCTGGTTTCTCATTTCAGATCACTAAGTGGTGAGAGGAACTGGCGGGAGCTGGACTGCGTACAGCAGGCAAAGAGCGTGAATAGTGCAAGACGCTAACTGCACATGAGTGGTCTAGCTGACTACGGCTACTAAAAGTCTCCGATTTGTGGCTTTGGGATGAGCCCGACACCTACAGTGGAGCACCCATGAGGGGACACATCTTGAAGAACATTATTACTTCATGAAGGCGAATAACTTCTTTTCATCTAGTGCCATCTAATTTGGGGTAGATTGGCTTAACTCCATTGCTCACGGGGCTAGTTTTTTTTCTCACCTGAGTGACATAGCTGGTTCAGGCTAATTTTTGAGTGTGGACTTGGCTTTATTTTATACTTCCATGAAAAATGATTCTTCCTGCACTACATTTTGCCACTTACAGAGGGTTGAGACTCATTGCTGCTGGTCAATCTGGAAATTAGTTCTGTGCAGCTCCAATGTGCCACATTCAGCCGATGTCCCACCTCTTGTCTGTTCTGCTGTCTCCACTATATATCTTTTGGAGTACCAATAGTCCTCAGACAGGCCCCATGATCTGATGGGGGACTGCAGTCCCAAGTGTAGCCCCACCAGCTGTAGTCTTTAACTTGACCAGTCTCTACAGCAGCCAGTAGGACGTAGGATGGGGGAGACCTGCTCACTACTTTGGTCCCTGACCTAGTGACCCTTGAGCAGCAGTCTCTCACTGCCCTCCTCTACTTCCTTTCAGTCCCCTTTACTGCCTTCTATCCTAGAGCCACCTCACCATAGCTCTTCCATCCACTCTGCTTCTGTATCAAGGCTGCAGTCTAGAAGTAGTCAATCAGAGCTCCCTCGGCTCCATTATTACAAAGGTGGTACACATGTTCAGAAAGGGTACATAAAGTCTGGTGTATGCTGATTGCACACAACTGTGAGAGCTGTGCACTCCCTCTGCATCCAATCAAAGTGCTACTATGGTTCAATCAGCACTTCCCGCAAATCCTAGGTATGAAGCACAGTTAGCAAAGCTATGCCATTCCAGGAGATCATCTTAGTTACAATAATCATCTATATCTGTGGTAAAAAGATCTTCGCGCCTTAGGAATTCCCTGGGATGTTCAAACCACTTTTAAAGACCTTCCTTTTGAGGCCCTCCATTTGTGGAAGGCTCCCACAGTGATTCTTTATTCTGTTGGCTACTGTGGTCCCAAGAAGGCAGCAAGACTTTTTTCAAGCAGCATCTCTCTGTTCAGTACTATTATCAGCTTCACAAAACCACTGCAGTGCTGAGACACAAAGCTGAGACTCTGTGGCTGATAACCTGCTGTTTCTTTCTCTACTGTAATCCAATCTGCATCGTCTTCCAGGCTGCAGGTTTGATTTTGGTGTTCAAAGCTTGACACAACTTCTCAAAGATTCCTTACCTTGAGGGTTTTTAACTTTTTGAAAGACTTGGCAGCATGGGGTATTCTATCCAATTTTAGTCCCTTCCCATTCTCTACTCTCCTGACCTATTACAAGACTAATATGTGGCTCTCTACCTTCAGGATGCCTATTTTCACATATTCATTCATCCTGACCATAGGAAATGCCTGAGATTCCTAGAAGGTTCCTTTCACTTTCACTATAAGGTCCTGCCTTTTGGTCTTTTCATTGCACCAAGTGATTAGAAGTCATAGTGACTCATTTAAGGAGAAAGGTCTACCCATATCTTGATGACTGGCTCATTGCAGGAAGATCACTTCAGCAAGTGGTAACTAGATTCAAGTGACTTAAAGCTCTTTGTCATGCTTGGCCATCAAAGTCAGAGAAAAATCCACAAATTCTCTGAGTCAAAGCATAAAGTTCATAGGAGCTATTCAATTCCAGATCAATGAGAGTTTATTATCTACAAGAAAGATTCCAAACTACCACCAACTCCAATCCCACCCAAAGACACCAGTAAGGACATGGCTCAGATTTATGGGACACATGGCTTCATGAACTTATATGTATGTGTTACAATTTGCCAGTATTGATTTGTACTCCATACAGTGGTGGTTGAAATCAGTGTACCTACCCAGTAGACACCAAGTGAACATGGTGGCCACTCTCCCACAAGAAGGCTCATTTAAACTGGTGGAAAGGTCCTCTTCAGGTGTGCAATGGTGTACTCTTCTCTGTATTTCTGTCAGTCAAGAAGCTGGTTACAGATGCTTCTACTTCTAGGTGAGATGGACTCATTTAGGTCACCTTCATTCAGACTTAGGACATGTGGTGCCCTCATCAAGGTTGTCTGCATATAAATGCCCTAGAACTCTGAGGCATTTTTTGACATATAGAACATTTTTGTCTCTACTTCAGGGATTCACAAGCCAAGTACTGATAGAAACATAACAGCTATGCAGTATGTTAACAGAACCAACCCTGGAACTTTCCCTTGCAACAAACCCAGTTGCCAGCTTTGTCCACATATTTACTCTGGAGACACCATCACTGGACCTAACCGCGTCAGTTATACAATCGAGGATTCATATTCTTGTACGTCCAGCAATGTAATATATGCCATCATGTGCCAGCAATGCCACTCTGTGATGTATATTGGACAAACTGGTCAGTCACTTCACCAAAGAATCAGTGCTCACAGATCAGACATCAGATATCGCCACACACACAAACCTGTGAGCCAGCGTTTCAATCAAATTGGCCATTCCCTTAAAGACCTGACAACATGCATCTTACAACAAAGAGACTTTAACACCAGATTACAGAGGAAGACCTCAGAACTTTTATTTATGCTAAAATTTGACATGTTGCGAATGGGCCTTAATTGAGATAATTATCTTACACATTGCAAAGACAGCCTCCCCACCTTTTAATATTTGTAGACACCCCAGATTGGCCACTTAATTGACTCTTACAGTAAGCAATTTCCTCCTTCCTTGTCACTCCCCCCTTCAGCCCTAAATTCTGTTCTATGTAGCTGATTTGTCAGTTTGTATTTTTTTACTTTTTTTATTGTATCCCTCTGTTATATAATGGTCATGTTAATTCACTTTCAGAATATTATCTGAAGAAGTGGGTCTGCCCCACGAAAGCTCATCACCTAATAAACTATCTTGTTAGTCTTTAAAATGCTACATGACTGCTTTTTTTGTTTTGTGGAGGAACCAGGTCACCTTCACTCTCTCAAGAAGCCATTTGTTGCTGGCCTAATATCTTCAAAGCATTCAGAACTTACTAGCCAATCACTGAATAGCCAGTTCTCAGACAGCTATCAGTGATCAACCAAAGTGTTGCACAGACATCTTTTGCAAGAGGCAATACAAACCAGTAGATCTTTTTGCCAAAGGTCAGAAGAAAGACTAAGTATTCTGCTCCAGAGGGAAATTCAGTCCAGTTCCTTTCTTATTCCCTGGACATTGGAATTGATGTATGTTTTTTCCCCAAATTCCAATGATATCAATGGTTCTGAGGAAACTAAGGCAAGATATTAGGTCAATGATCATGATAATTCAAGCATTGGCTTGGCAGCTCTGGTTTTTGGATATGTAAACTTCTCAGTGCAGCCCCTTGTCATGTTGCCTGCTCTGCCTAACATAGTCTCATAGAACAAAAAATGGATTTTATGCTTTTATCTAATATTGTTACATTTGACAGTCTGGTTGCTGAATATCTGACATCTACCAAAAGAAGATATTAAACTGAAATTCAGAATACTCTGCTCCAAAACAGGAAAGCTACAACTAGACTGACTTTTATAAAGCTAAATGGAGAGAGGTTTTCTTTTGGAGCCTGTCAACGTACCAACTGATATCCCCAATCACTTGAAGAAGAAAAAGTGGTTATTTATTTTACATTAATTATAGCTCTTTGAGATATGTTATCCACAAAGATTTTATAAATGTCCCTCCTTTCCTGCTATTACGGAGTCTTACTCTGGATTCTGTATTGGTGAAGGACTCCTAGCATGCAGATGTGACCCCAATGGATAATGGTAACCAAAAGAGTCAGATCATGTATGCATCAATTGAGTATGTCCTAGGAATGAAATTGATGTGTGCAATACATCTCTAAGAACTGCACTTACTGTAAAGTAAGTGACTGGTCTTTTTTTATTTTTGTAAATTAATTTTTGTGTAGTTATCTTGTTGCAAATATTCTTATTAACTTTTACATATGTTTTGCAGGTACAAGATTTAAACAATAAAAAATTGGTTCAAGAAAATGAGAACAAAAGTTTATTAGATGCTTGTTCTGAAGTGATTAAAATGATTGAAGGTTTGGTAAGTTTTTTTTATTGTTTTCATGAATTACAACTGAAAATCTTTGTATATTTTGTTATCTTTAAATGATCATCAAGACATATTCTGTCTTAATGCTTCTTAGAAATCTAGCTGGGAATCTGAACGGTTGAATATGAAACAAATGGTCCTCAATACTCTTCAAACAGTGGATGAACTGGAATGTGAAAATAAAGAACTTGAGAGAGAAAATGAAGAATATCTAAAAAAATCCAGAGAGAGGTAATTCAAACTCTGTAAAATACTTGCAATATAAAAGGAAAATGCAATGATCTGGAGGAAAATAAGCAGCATTTTAGATGAACATCAGTCAATTGTTTCTATTTAAAATATTTCTTAATTCAATATTTCAGTCATTTAAAATCACATTTTGACAACTTGTACCTAAATACACTATATCGTCTTTTCTCTGGATGCTCTTAATTTGGGAACACTTACGGTATGGACCCTGGCAGGTGGAGGAAGAAGCAGCTGTGCATACTGCCACTCATCCTCCCACTGCCCCCAGCTGGGGGAACGGCAGCACTGCAATATGCTGTGCCAGAGCCTTTTCCCCACTGCTCACATAGGAGCAGGGGACGGTGCCTAGGTGAGGCGGGCGATGTAGAATGCCAAGTAATGCCTACTTCCTGGCCTAATTCCAGAATGCCTACTTCCATCCCCCTCACTCCTTCCCTGGTCTGGCAAAAACTTAAATCTGGCAAGCCTTGTTTCTCAGGGTTGCCGGATTAAAGAGGTGCAAGTGTTATTGATGATCTGTAATCCCACTCTCATGCCCCCATCTTCTCAAACATAAAAATAATAATGGTCACACTCATCAGTTCTGTAGTTTGGCAAATCACAAAACAAACAATCGAATTTTCTTATATTATTTGTAGATTGAAAGGAACTTCATTCCCAATTATACTTTGAAACATTTTTCTGCGAATATATAGAACACCAACTGTAGCGGATGAATATAGGCAAGCAACACGGGAATGCAGGGGCAAGATTAGAAAGGCAAAGGCACAAAATGAGATCAAACTAGCTACAGGCATAAAGGGAAACAAGAAGACCTTTTATAAATACATTAAAAGCAAGAGGAAGACCAAGGACAGGGTAGGCCCACTGCTTAGCGAGGAGGGAGAAGCAGTAACAGGGAACTTGGAAATGGCGGAGATGCTCAATGACTTCTTTGTTTCGGTCTTCACCGAGAAGTCTGGAGGTGTGCCTAACGTAGTGAATACAAGCAGAGAGAGGGTAAGTTTAGAAGATAGGATACACAAAGAACAAGTTAAAAATCACGTAGGAAAGTTAGATGTCAGCAAGTCACCAGGTCCTGATGAAATGCATCCCAGGATACTCAAGGAGCTGATAGAGGAGGTATCTGAGCCTTTAGCTATGATCTTTGAAAAATCATGGCAGACAGGGGAAATTCCAGAAGACTGGAAAAGGGCAAATATTGTGCCCATCTATAAAAAGGGGAATAAGAACAACCCAGGAAACTACAGACCGGTCAGTTTAACGTCTGTCCCAGGGAAGATAATGGAGCAGGTAATTAAGGAAATCATATGCAAACACTTGGAAGGTAATAAAGTGATAGGGAATAGCCAGCATGGGTTTGTGAAGAACAAGTCATGCCAAACTAATCTGATAGCTTTCTTTGATAAGATAACGAGCCTTGTGGATAAGGGAGAAGCGGTGGATGTCATATACCTAGACTTTAGTAAGGCATTTGATACGGTCTCGCATGATATTCTTATTGATAAACTAGGCAAATATAACTTAGATAGGGCCACGATAAGGTGGGTGCATAATTGGCTGGATAACCGTAGTCAGAGAGTTGTTGTTAACGGTTCTAAATCCTGCTGGAAAGGGATAACAAGTGGAGTTCCTCAAGGGTCTGTTTTGGGACCCATACTGTTCAACATCTTCATCAATGATGTAGATATTGGGATAGAGAGTACGCTTATTAAGTTTGCAGATGATACCAAACTGGGTGGGGTTGCAACTTCTTTGGAGGATAGGGACATAATTCAAAATGACCTTAGCAAGTTAGAGAAATGGTCAGAGGTAAACAGGATGAGGTTTAATAAAGAGAAATGCAAAGTGCTCCACTTAGGAAGGAACAATCAGTTCCATACATACAAGATGGGAAGCGACTGTCTAGGAAGGAGCATGGCAGAAAGGGATCTAGGGGTCATAGTGGACCACAAGTTGAATATGAGTCAACAGTGTGATGCTGTTGCAAAAAAAGCAAATATGATTCTAGGTTGTATCAACAGGTGTGTTGTAAGCAAAACTCGTGAAGTCATTCTGCCGCTCTACTCTGCACTAGTTAGGCCTCAGCTGGAGTACTGTGTCCAGTTCTGGGCGCCACATTTCAAGAAAGATGTGGAGAAATTGGAAAGGGTACAGAGAAGAGCAACAAGAATGATTAAAGGTTTAGAGAACATGACCTATGAAGCCAGGCTTCATGAACTGGGCTTGTTTAGTTTGGAAAAAAGAAGATTAAGGGGGGACATGATAGCGGTTTTCAAATATCTAAAAGGGTGTCACAAGGAGGAAGGAGAAAATTTGTTCCTCTTGGTTTCTGAGGACAGGACAAGGAGTAATGGGCTTAAAGTGCAGCAGGGGAGGTTTAGATTGGACATTAGGAAAAAATTCCTAACTGTCAGGGTGGTCAAATATTGGAATAAATTGCCAAGGGAGGTGGTGGAATCTCCCTCTCTGGAGATATTTAAGAACAGGTTAGATAGACATCTGTCAGGGATGGTGTAGACGGAGCTTGATCCTGCCTTGAGGGCGGGGGGCTGGACTCGATGACCTCTCGAGGTCCCTTCCAGTCCTATTATTCTATGATTCTATGATTCTATGAACTGCATAAGAGGGACCTGTCTCCTAGCAATAGGATGAAGATAGAGTTGGAGAATGCTTCTTTATTGAGGCTCCCTTTATAGAAGTGGTAGCTCTCTCCCAGAAAAAGGATGTAGAAGAGAGCAACCACATCTCCTACTAATAGTGCCTCAAAAAAGAAGGGTTCTCTGACTCTTTGCACGTCATCAGTACCATCTGTGCTCCAGTGGTGTACATCCAAATTGGCAGCATCTTCTAGGACTGCTAAACATGAAGACCCTAGGCAGAAAGGCTCTCAGAAGGACAGCAGAGACAAGACTACCCCTTCTACTGCAGCTAAATACTTGGTATTGAGCACCTCCACAGTGCCTAATTTTATGGCACCATATTCTGGCTCTCTGGTGCATAATGCTGACACAGTGGTACTGAAGTCTAATTTACATCCTTCAGTACAGACATTCTCTGCACCAGTCCTCCCAGTGCCACAACAATTCTTAGTACTACAACAGTTATCACCGATGCCATCTTCAGTATCGAGATCTATTTGAACACGGTGGTTTCTCTGACATAAGGACTGGAATAACTTGTTCTCAGTACAGATATAGCATTGGCTCATGCAGCATCATTATACATGCCAAGATACATTTCTTCGTATTTTTTTCTAGTGAGGAGGACAGTGATGAGGAAGATTATGTTTATTCTTTGCACCACTCTTCAGTTATCCAGGGAATTTTCAGATCAGATCTCCAAAACAGCTAGGGCACTGTTCCATGGCTGGCATCCAGTGATGGTATAGACATCCATGGATGCCACCACCAATGCCTTTCCTACTATAGTGGCCATGTTGGGACCTATGAATTGTATATAAGCAACATTGTTCCAAGCCTCCCAGCACCTCAAGGGAAAGATAGAGATGCTCTCCATCAGTGTCAGAGATGGGACCCCCTAAGTCCCCTGAAGAAACTTTTGAGGAAGTAGAGGGTGCTTTAGATCAGGACACCAGTCCTACAATTAACACCTCCTTCCCTCCAGGAAAGATCCTCCTGCCTCCACCATCTATAAGAGGAGATTATTTAAAAAATAATCAGGAGCATCTTAAAAGAATTGCAGACACTCTCCAAATCCCTCTGGAAGAGGTTGCTTAGTCCCAGCTCACAGCTCAAATTGTTGGACATATCACACACATCAGACTCCATCAGAATTGCACTTCCAATAAATGAGGCACTCATGAATTCTGCCAACACCATCTGGCAGACTCCCATAATAATCCCCCTATTTGTAAAAAGTCGAAATAATACATCCCATTAAAGGAACTTGAATTTGTATTTTCACTTCCCCCCCAACCAAACTCATTGTTGGTTGTCAAAGGTATTCCCCACTTAAGCACTTTGGGTATGTCTACACTAGCCATCCTAGTTTGAACTAGGGTGGATAATGTAGTCATTTGAACTTGCAAATGAAGCCCGGGATTTAAATATCCCAGGCTTTATTTGCATTTTTCCGGGCACCGCCATTTTTAAATGCCCCGTAGTTTGAACTACCTGCCCGCGGCTACACGCGGCACGGGCTAGGGAGGTCGAATTAAAGCTCCTAATTCAAACTACCATTATTCCTCATTGCAGTCTTAGACACATGCATACAGAACCTCCTGCTTTTGAGGACAAAGGAATCAGATCATAGTCTCAAAAAACCCTGTGATTTTATTTACAAACAAAGAAGACATACTTGGCAAAGCATACTTGGTTGCTAGGTGTTACAGCACAACTGAAAAAAAAAGATTAAATGCACAGAGAATTGCTTCCCTGGGAGTCAGTTTCAGTTACAGTGAATGAGGGGAGGAGGATCCAATACAGAGGAGTTTAACCAAACCAGAAAATAAAATAACCTGATCACATCTAACTACACATTCACTGTCCTCTGATATATCCATTGTTCCAAGCTTCAGTCCTTCTAGACATGGATATTCCTCAAAATTCCTTCCTGATTCCCAGGACTTTATCTCTCTGCCAGTTCTTGCTCTGAATTCACACAAAAGCTGAAGCAGGCTGAACCTGTTTCATTTTAGATCTCTCACTTCTTCCCATTGGCTCTCCTGGCTCCCTGCCAACACTTGCTGTATACCCACTGTTCTGCATTTAGCCCTTTACTCATAATTTAGTTAACTGAATGGTTAGGATGTTTAGAAAAGGGTCGTATCCCTCCCAGCCATCACAGTGGTAAAGCCCATCAAAGAATAGGGTAGTCAATACCATTTTGAGGTCCACCCCTCAAAGGTAATATAGAATCATAGAGCGCTAGAACTGGAAGGGACCTCTAGAGGTCATTGAGTCCAGTACCCTTCCCTTACGTCAGGACCAAGTACCATCTAGACCATCCCTGATAAATGTCTAATCTAATCTGCTCTTAAATATCTTTAGTGATGGAGATTCCACAAGCTCCCTAGGCAATTTATTCCAGTATTTAACCACCCTACAGTTTATTATGCAATGTCCTTTTAATATAGTTTTTTACTTATCTGTATTACGGATGTAGACTTTATTTGCTTTCTGGATACTGTAGAACAAAGATATGACTTTCTGAAATCAATAGATTATCAGGAAATACAAGTTACAGTATATTTTCATCAAAATGGAAGTGTACATTTGGAACATGCACCTCCTATATTCAGCATCAACTAAGTGATTAATAAAATATTGACTTTCATTTGTAAGATTTTTAAAATGTTTTAGCTTTACTTATTTAACAGTGATTTTTCTTTTACAGCTCTTCTTCTGCAAGCTTGACTCTCTTGCAAGATAATTTCAAGGCTCTGTTTTATTTTAACAGTTCAAGAAGAAAAATAACATATCAGTCAGAACTGCAGAGTATAAGCAAAAACATCAAGAAAATTGAAGAACGATTACGAAAAGTTAATAAAGAGCTATATAATATTGAAATGGCTTATGGTGAAGGAAAAACAAAAGTGGAAGAATTAGAAGAACAAATAATTAGAGAAAAAATTCGTTACAAGGTTGTATATGACATTATATTTAAAAGCATTTTTAAGATGTAGAAAAATTGGATAGAAGAGAATATTTGTAACAGTCCTCGTTTATTTATTGAGATATGCCCTTCTTATAGGCCACAATTCATATAGTTTTTGACCAAAGCTTTTCATTCAAGATCATATTTTCAGTACCTTACAACTTTCCAGACTTTAACTTTATGGGGTGAAGTGTTCCATGCCAGCACAGAGCTGCTGCAATCTAGAGTTTTTCGCAGAGTTTCAGCAAAAGTAATCCTCCTGTTACATGAAATGACGGAAGGGAAAAAGTCCATTATTTTGCCAATCTTAAAACCGCGTGATTTCACTGAAAAATTCTAGGATGCCGATCCTGTGGAATAGAGATTTGATATTTGCATGGAGGTTGCTCTCGCCTTTTACTGTTCCAGTGAAAATCCACCCCATTTGTCTGAAATGCAAGCCATTGAAAATTGCCATTTGCACATTTTTTTTGGAGTCTGACAGTAAGTCTCCAAGGTTACTATACCTCTATTGTACTCTGTGCCAACAACAATGGGCATGATCCATTCTCACAGAACCCAGGGGACAGAGAGAGGGCTACTATGGCACAAGGCACAGAAATGAGAACAGTGATACTTATGTTTTCAATGCTCTGCTGACACCTAGGCTATGTCTACACTGCAGGGAAAAGTCAGAAAAAGATACAAAAATTGCAAACTGCAGTTTCCGTATCTTTTTCTGCTTTTCTTCTGAAAAAGGCTTTTCCAACATTTGGCCCGTCTACATGGGCCAAATCTTGGGAAGAAAAACCCTCTTTCAGAACATCACTGCCGAAAAAATGTGTCTGCTTTTACAAAAAAAAATTCAGAAAAGCAGATGCATTCCTTGGACATGGCAGAGCTTTTCCGGCATCCCGGAAAAGCTCTGCAATGTAGACATAGCCCTAGGGAACATATAGGACAGGGACTGCTAACAGGGAGTTTTGAGAGGAAGCTCTCCAGGTGAAGGAGGAAGCAAATACAGAACCCTGTATTCTTGAATGCAAACAGGGCTTTTCCAAAAGAGAGCATTCAGATTGCCGAAGTGGCTGTCTGTAGTATGTGTGTGTGTTTGCGGGTTTCTTGCGGTGTACTGAGCTTGTGTTTGGCTGTTTGGTTTAGAGGTTTTTTCCCTTTCCCATCTCTCCCTCCATCCCCCACAGAGTGTGTGATGTGGCTGGCAGGTGGAAACTGTGAACTTCTAATCAGGGTTTGAACTCTAGAAGCCTTTGCTCATGAGCCTTAATTAGCGGGAGAGGCTATCAGGCAGTCCAAGGCTTTATAAAGGAGTGAGTCAGTGACCAGGGAGCTTGCGACCAGGGACTGTTCACAGGGACTGTTGAGAGTGAGTTTTGAGAGGAAATTTGGAAGGGGTGGGGAAGGGGCGAGGTATATTTACCATTCTTTAAGATTTTGTCACTACGCTCCTGCCCTTCAAGGAGGCATTTAATAACATCTGAGGAATCTCTTGGATGGAAGGAAGGTATGGATAGTGATAGGTTTTGTTTTAAACCTGCTGCCCATTGGTGGTGCTGTTGTTACCTGCACAGCATGTGCCATGTTTGTCTTCCTCCCAGAGGAAAGAAGGGATTCCATCTGCACTAAGTGCAAGCTGGTCACCATTTTGGAAGAAAAAATAGAGGACTTGAGGCCCAAGTATCTACCCTATGATCTATGAGAGAGGATGAAGACTTCCTTGATAGAAGGCAGCATTTAATTCTGCAGGCACAGCAGGCTGAAAAGCCAGTAAGGACTGTAAAGGACAAGGAAGAGAACTGGCAGCATGTAGCCTCTAGAAGAAGAAGGCCAACTCAGGTATCCCCCATTCCTGTAAAGGTAAGTAACCACTTTCAGGCTCTCTTCTCAGGCACTGCAGTGGAGAATCCTTTGGCAGGGACCTCTCATGGAAGAAATCAGAAGGGAACACTATCTAAGGGAAGGCATAAGATACATAGTCCTAGGGATGAGGGTTCCACGACCACTACCCTCAAAAGAAGAAGACGGGTGGTGGTGGTCAGGGACTCTCTCCTAAAAGGGACTGAGTCATCCATCTGCTGTCCAGATCTAGAATCTTGAGAAGTGTGCTGCTTACCAGGACCTCGCATTCAGGATGCAACCAAGAGTCTTCCCAAAGTGATCAAACCTTCAGATCACTACCCCTTCCTGCTTCTCCATGTAAAAACTAACGATACAGCCAAGAATGACCTTGAGCAGATCACAGCAGATTATGTAGCACTGGGAAAAAGGATCAAGGAATTTGAAGTGCAAGCGGTGTTCTTGTCCATCCTCCCTGTTGAAGGAAAAGGTCCAGGTAGGGAATTGAGGAAGTAAATGCATGGTTGTACAGGTGATGTTGGAGAGAGGGCTTTGGTTTCTTCGACCATGGGACTCTGTTCCAGGCACAATGACTGTTAGGAAGAGATGGGATCCACCTAACCAAGAGAGGAAGGAGCATCTTCGCGGGCAGGCTTGCAAACCTAGTGAGGAGGGCTTTAAACTAAGTTCACTGAGGAACGGTGACCAAAGCCCTGTGGTAAGTAAGAAGTCGGATACCGGGAAGAAACACAAGGAGGAATGAGCAACAAGGGAGGACCCCTGATTCAGATGGAGAAGGTAGGGTGATCAACTGGTTATCTATGGTGTTTGTACACCAATGTGAGAAGCCTGGGAAACAAACAGGAAGAATTAGAAGCCCTGGCCCAGTCAAAGAACTATGATTTGATTGGAATAACAGAGACTTGGTGGGATGACTAGTGTGGCTGGAGCACTGTCATGGAAAGCTATAAACTGTTCAGGAAGAACAGACGGGGAGAAAAGGAAGAGTATGTTGCATTTACCACCCTGTAGAAGTGTGATTGTGTGTGAGCGCGCACGTGTGTTCATTAAATAAGCTGTACTCATATCCATAAATTACTACCCCAAGGTCTCAAACAGAAAATAACTTTTATGGATTTTATTTGTATCATACTTTAAGACATATTTTCCATCTATCCCTACCCTAGCATGAGAGAGCATGCCTCTTTGTCCTTTTCCTAAAAACAAAATAGAAATGGCAGCAGATACGATAAATGCTGCCCAACATCCATTAATAGCATGTGCTGTGTTGCTGGACCTCACCCACTTTTTCCCTCTAACTCATTATTTCATTTTTCGGTTAAGGGTTTTCTCTCTTCAAATGAAGAGCATATACTGAGAAAGCAAACAACAACGTATTTGGAAATAATACTCCAAGGCAAAACTACCACTAATTTCAAAGAAGTGCAGGATTTTCATCCCGAACATTAACATTACAATGATGGGCTTGTTTTCTCATAAGGAAGTGCTTTAAATCTGTAAGGTCTTGTAAAAGCAAATTGCAAAGGCCATGATCGTTGTACTAGATGGACGAACGTGGCCATCTACAGTCGCATGGCTGCCAGTCTGGCCACCTCTGAACCCAGGAGCAGGTTCGGATGAAAACCAAGGAGCTGCAGCAGGCATGTGCCAGGGCCACAGGAAGCAGCTCCCACACAGGCAAACCCAGACTTGTGCCCCTATTTTGACACCCTGAGCCACATACTGGGGGGCAGGATGGTCTGTGCCCCCCAGGTGGTCATCGACCCTGGAGCAGAGGGCCCTGACCAGGGCACAGCGGAGGAGGAGGGCCAGGAGCCACAGGAGCCTAGAGGGAGTATGCCACGCAGCCAGGGCCCCCAAACCGTCCCAGCGGACCCCCAACCCTGAGCCCTGAGCTTCTCTTCCCCATTCCTCCCCTTGCCTCCCTCTTCCAGCTCCCTCCTCCCAGGTTTACCCCTCCCCTCTCCCACCCTCTTGCCTCCCTTCTCCTGCCTTCATTCCAACCCCCACATCCCAGTTTTGTTCAATAAAGAGAGTTTGATTTCTTGAACACATGTCTTTATTGTTCATCAGGAAGGGGGGTTAAGGAGGGTTAAGTGGAAGGATGTGAGGGTGGAATGAGACACAAGTCCCCAGTGGGGCACACCAGGGAGACTTTAGTCCTCCTCCGGGTGGAAGCTCTCCCACAGGGCCTCCCAGATACAGACAGCCCCCCGATAGGCCTTCCATGTGGGGCTGCATGTACAGGCCAGCCAACTGCTCAGCCTCTGCAATTCAGACTGGCAGGAAAGCCTCCCCCTTCCTCTTGCACAAATTGTGCAGCACGCAGCACGCTGCCACCACGTGCAGAATATTTCACTTGGAGAGGTCCAGGCGGGTGAGGAGGCATCTAAAGTGGGCCTTCTGCCGGCCAAAGACATCCTCCACCATGATGCAGGCCGTGCCAAGCCTGGCATTAAATGCCTGTTGGGGAGGGTTGAGGTGTCCCGTGTAGGGCTTCATGAGCCAGGTCTGTAGGGGATAGGCCACATCCCCCACCAGGCACACAAGCATGTCCGTGTCCCTGACCGTGATGTGGTGTTTGGGGAAGAAGGTCCCAGCGTACAGCCTCTGGCAAATGGAGAAGTTTCGGTACACTCGTGCGTCATATACTTTGCCAGCCCAGCCCACATTGATGTCCACAAAGTGGCCTCGGTGGTCAGCAGGATGATGGAAAAGTATCCATTGCGGTTGATATAAAGGGAGGCCTGGTGTTCTGGGGCATGGATGGGGATGTGTGTCCTGTTGATAGCTACCCCACAGTTGGGGAAGCCCAGGACATCAAACCCCTCGATGACCGCATCAACATCAGCAGCACTCTATTGATGGCCTTGACCACCTGCAGAGGGACACACAAAACCGAGAGTCACTGAGGTGCCAGGGTGGCTGAGAGTGCTCCTTCCCTGCCACTGCCCCATGCCCCCACTCCTCCAGGAGCTGCCGAGGCAGAAGACTCTGTGGAGCAGCACTCTATTGATGGCCTTGACCACCTGCAGAGGGACACACAAAACCGAGAGTCACTGAGGTGCCAGGGTGGCTGAGAGTGCTCCTTCCGCACCACCGCCCCGCCCCTACTCCCTAGGAGCAAACTCC